TTTGCCCGCAAATTATCCGTCTCAAGTGTACAGTATATCGTCTGGACGTTTCCATGTTGGGTGTGTGCCGTTCTTTGGATGTTTCAAGGGAGAAAATACGTATTTTCCTGGCGCTAGCGGGCGGAGTTTGGAGACTGGAAACTAAAAAAGCGACTACCATGGCGGCGTGGCGTGGTGCTGAAAAAGACACGTTCTTGCGAGGTAAGGTAACAAATTAGCTCCTTGAGTGTACATGTTTGTACTAACAACAAACCTGTAGCATCAGACCACGTTATAATTCGTTATTTTAACTGTTATATTCCGTAGGAATTTGCGTTTTGTGGAACGATATCGTCGTGTCGCACCAAGGAGTTTCCATCTTGGTCGCACACAAATAAATTTTTTGTGTGCCATTTTGACTGTACTTGAGTATTTTAAGCGTAATCAGGACCCCCCATGCAGACCCTCCTCCATAGCAGGCTTATAGAACTGGGAGTTTGGTGGTCTGTTTTCTGATAAGCCCATTTCTAAAAAGCGAGGGTAATTCAACCAGGCCGGCTATGTTGTCTACATGCAATCAGAAAATAGCACATAAAAGCTCCCAAAGACCCTGAAGACCCCCAAACCCCCCAGTTTTTGGCAATCAAGTCAGCTCCTGTCAAGGTAGCAGGTCACAGTATTAATGGGCGACCCCCGGAGTCTATGACGCGGGTATAGAAAGTAGTGCAGCGAATATTCTTGAAGGCTGGGTAGAAAGCCTGATAAGAGCGTCAGCCAGGTGTAAATTGTGCTGTGTGGTGTAGAAATGTATCGGGTTTGAGACTGTATGATTTGATTTGTGAAGGTTTTGCAGTTCGTGTATAAATGCGCCGTATTGTGCAACTGGCTTTCCGGGTGAGTCGGCTGCAGTTCAGGTCACGTCCGTAGGAGGCGATTTCAAAGTGTACGTCACGAGCAGATACGCCGACAGGATTTTTTGGTTTCTAGATATTTTGTAGTTTGTACCTTCTTCTCAAACATATTCGATTTTCGTATTTGTGAAGTGCACCCTGCTATAATTTTTACCGCGTCGAAGTGAGTCATCTTGGGGTCCTTAACTATAGAAATCCCCATAGGGCGAAAACTGTGTTCTGCTACCTCAATCATCGGTCACAAGGCCCCGTGGGAAGCTCACCTCTGGTGGCCGTGGTATGTCCGACTTGGTGCCCGATAATTCGGACCAGATGAAGGCATTTAGTGTCCACCCTGCGTCTATGTGTTACAGTCTGTCCTTTGACTTGATGGCTTGCAGAAAATTTAGTCCACACCAATTTAGTACTAAAGAAAGGTACTGGAAATTTACTAAAGAAAGGTTCCATATCAGAAAAGCAAAGCAGTCAGAAAATTAATTTATTAATTACAAGTGTGTTTAGAGTTAAAAGTTTTGATCCAACACAAAGAAGTTCTCTCACCTAGAGCTTTTGTAAGAAACAAGAGGCAAGCAGTAGAAACAGAAAGAAACTCCTGGGCCGGGGTTCGGACCCACAACCAAAGCCCGAGCTTCAAACCCGACGCTCCTACTGATTTGGCTGAAAGGTCTAGACCCTCGGCCAGGTTAGTTGGTAGCGCCTATAAATCCCCCACTGTTACACTTTTTACATGTGTATTGAGATTTACCACATTTGTGGAAGGATTGACATAGCAGGTGACTATCACTTTTTCAAGATGTCAACCCTGAGACCAAAATGTCACAATTTCTTCCTCGTGCATGTG